GGCAGGTGGCAGCACCACTGAGTGAAGTCCCTGGCGACAATAGGATATTTTGAACTCACATAGTTCTATAAATTTTCTGTAGATTCAGTAGTTTCAAAAAAATTTCAATGACACAAATTATTTTATTTCTGATGAAATGAAATGAAGTCTGGGATTAGCTTCAAATATTACTTACGATTGTTGGCGAACATGTCCTCAACTGGCTCCCAGTTGATGGCGGAGAGCAGATAGAAACCCATCAGAGAAGAACTATATGAAAGGGGAAGAGAGAATGGCCAGGAGGAGGGGAGAAGTGTGCTCCCAGCAAAAGTGCCAGTGCATGGAAATCCTTGGGCTAGAAAAGGCTGAAGTGCAGCCAAGAAGATAAGGCCCTGAAAACAAGGCAGGCAATGCAGCCAAGGTCTTCCCATTGGCAGCTGAGACTTCAGCCAGATTCTGTGAGCTTACAAAATTATGCAGCTGTATTCATAACTTAGTCCTTTTTACAAATGTAGATTGCTATCTTGCATTTTTCTCTATCAGGATGTCCTCCATGACACCACGCTCCTGTGGTATTCTCTTTCTATCACTACAAGATTTTTAAAAATATGCCGTAAAGTTTACAGCTTATTTCACGAAATCCTTTGGAAGCAGAGGAAAAATGAATCCCAATGACCTTCTGGGGCAATCAGATGAACTTCAAATCCCTTTTAGTGCATTCATAGAGTACCTTCAAGTGCACTGCAGATAAATACAGAAATATATTTAGAAGTAAGTTTAGAGGTGAATAAATATACATGCATACATTTTCCACTGACAAGGGGCTAAGATCCCTTCATCATTTACTTTCTAATGTTGTTTGGACTCTGGAACTTTGAAAGCAGTGGGAGTGGCTGTTCCCTATTGGACTTGACTTTCTTCCAAAGCAAGAGTTTTCACAATATCAAAGTAGCTACCATCTGCACTCAGGAGGTTGAGGTATGAGGATTGCTGCAAGTTTGAGGCCAGCCTGGGCTATATAGTGAGACTCAGTCTTTAAAAAAAAAAGTAGCTACTGTATCCATACTCAGCTGGCCTTGAGGTGCCAAGCTCAGCAACAGTCTGGACTTTGTTCATGTTGGTGTTGCCTTTTAAAATCTTCATAAATATTTTCCTGTCTGTTTCACTAGGAAAACTGTCTTACTTACTTTTCTTGTTTCTGAGACAAAATATCTGTCATCCAAAGTCAAAAAAAGGAAAAGTTTGTTTTGGCTCACACTTTGTAGAAATTTCAGTTCATAGTCATCTGGCTCCAAGGCAGGGTGGCATGGCAAAGGGGCATCAGAGAGGAGAAACAGTCCATGGCAGATAGAAGGCAGAGGCAGCAAGGCAGCAAGCTACAAGAGAAAAGCTGTGACCCTTTTTCCCTTATATCTTAACCAGGCTGCTCCCCTTAGGGCAGGTAGCACACCCAGGGAAGGACAGTTTTAATCTTATCATTGCACCATGAATCAATCTCAGCATCACATCCTTGATCCCAGCACCGCACACCCTAGATCCAGCCATCTCTGAAAAGCCCCATCTATGACCACATGAGTCTTTGGGGGATGTCTAGATACAATCCATAACAAAAACATTTTAATTTAAATTTCTTTTTCTTTTCTTTTTTTTTTTTTTTTTTTT